GCCCCCAGACACCCTTTTAGCTCAGTGGTGAAGTCACTTCTGAGGTTCACCGTTCAGCTGGGGAGTAGACAGCCCCATAAAACCAAATGGGACTAATGAGGCATAGCAGTCCAGGGACAAGGGCTAGAAGGCAGAAGGGGACAGGAAAGCTGCTGATAGGGAATCCAAGGTTGAGTAAGGATAGTGTTTATGTGTTGTAAGGTTGTTAAAACATTGTCATAGGACAACATGTGTAGTAACTGTTTAATGAGAAACTATTTTGATCTGTAAACCTTCATCTAAAGTGAGAATAGCAGCACAATTGGAAGAGCTTAGTGAATGTCACTGAAATGTGCATTTAGAAATTTTTGAAATGGTGTATCTTTCGCTATGTATGTTTTCACCAAAAAGAAAAAAAAAAGGTCGAGAAGGGAGAGGGTTGACATATCGTGGGGTTGTTAACCAATGTCAGAAAACAATATGTGTACTACTGTTTAATGAGAAACTATTTGTTCTGTAAATCTTTACCTGAAGTACAATTAAAAAAAAAAAGAAAACGAAATTACAAAGTCTTGGAAAATGGTTAAGATTTGCATAGAAGGGACGGAAGGAATCTGGGCAGATAAAATAAGGAACTGAATCCCAAAAGGAAGAAAATATCACTTTCTTTTTTCTCTTTGAAGTGGAGAAGAGTAATGGGCAGTGTACATGAGAAAATCAGGCTTTCAGACTGCTGGGATTTTTTATTTCCTTTGCAGCCTCCAGGAGCAGAGGCTCTTAAATTGATGAAAGAATAGAAAAGAATCCTGAGAAGACAAGAATATATGCGCCAGCAATGAGTCACCAGGTCATCTCTATACTCCTGCTATCTCTCTCTTCTATTCTCAAATTCAGATTCAAGTTACAGGCTATGTGAGAAGAACCTCCAGGTGGGAAGCTTCCAAACCAAGCCTCTAATCTGAACATTTATGCTCCTCCTCTGTCACTTCATTTTCATTCTGGATTTCCTTTAAAAATCAACAAACTCATGAATAACCCATAGTTAAGCCCAATGTGCATCTCTTGACCTAAAAAGACTTATCAGTATCTTCAACTTCACAATGTTACATTTGTATCTCGGAAACACTATTAGAAGACCACCAGCACTATCTACAAACTCCTACATAACCTTCAACTCCCTCAAGATGTTCAGCTGAGGGGCATTTTTATTTTTGTTCCCAACCAGGAGATTATTCGGAGTCCCTTGGTAGCATAAACAGTTAAGCATCTGACTAACTAGTTGTCAGTTTGAACCCACCCAGAGGACCCTCGGAAGACAGGCTTGGAGATCGGTTTTTGACAGGTCACAGCCTTAAGAACCCTATGGAGCAGTTCTACTCTGCACACATGGGGTCGCCATGAGGTAGAACTGACTCCATGGCAACCAATAACAACGATAACGAGTGAACACAGTAAGGGTGGGCAGAGAACCTCATCTAGAAGAAATTTTTGTATACCATAAACAATGCCTTGTACATAGTAGGGATTAGATTCATCGACATTCCTCATATTAATTAGACTCATCAACATTCCTCACGTTATCTTTAAATACTGCATATTTAAAGATAAATATGGAGTATTCATTTAGTATTTAAAAAAACTAATATTTAAATACTAGTTTCCATTCCCAAATTAAAATTAACAGTCTATTTCTAAGGAAAATAGGATTCAGAAAGGGAAGGCTTCTTTATCAGGCACGGTAGTTTATTAAGCCTATGACAGACAGTATTGTGATTTTAAAGAGGAAAGGAAACAAGCTAATTCTGGGAATCCAGGTTTGACTATATTGTTTACTCTTTATATTACAACATGCTGTCTCAAGTTTAATAACATTAAGTTTAATGGCAATGAAAGGTGATTCTGACTGGTAAAAACAGGTCATCACAAAGTTTTTCTCCAGTGTTAGGTATAAGGTCCAGTGTTAGGCATAAGTACAAGAGATACCACTGGTGATGGAAATTCTTAAACAATACCAAAAACCAAAAGAGTATTTATGGTTTCACTTTCTAATATTTACTACTACTATGTAACTTCTAAAGTTTTCAATATAAATTGAAAGATAAAATTTAAGATATAAGAAATATGAAATGACCAAAAGACAGACAAGGAGATAAGAAAAGTATCCTAAATCTGCCCCAAACTGAATCATCAGTTCCCAAATAAATAAGAATTCAATGTAACAGAATTTTCTGTCTAACTCAATACTAAATTTCTTGGTAGGCTTACTAAAGACTTTGTCTTTTATTAGCACTTAATTTTTGCTTTAATTAATAATAGAACAAATATGTACCTATTAATCCAAAATTTATCCAACTGTTGAATATTGGTCTCAAGATAGAGCAGTGACAGATTTTTTGTTACCAGATTATCAGACAGAACACACCTAAAATCACTACTGAAATGTTACTTGGTATCAGCTCACTCAACTAATAAGAGAGCATAGAAGGTGGGAGGGGGAGGCTTGTGGTTTTTGTTTTTAATTAGAATATACACACCCTAAAGCAGAAATACGGTCAAGTTTTGCTCTGACTTTTGTCTGAAACTTGTTAACTGGGTAATTAAACTCAGTTTGCCTTGAATTCTTGCACTGCTTCTATCAATTAAAAAATAAAGTATCAGAAACAAGTCTCAGTTGTAAACCTCCTTTAATTCTAAGTGACTGTGGGGATGAGTGCTACACACACAACCCCTAAAACTGGTTCTTAAGAAGGGTGTGTGCATCAGATTGCCCTCGAGACCTCTTCCAAAGACAAATGCCTGTCCCCCCTTCTATGACTACAGAATCTCTGTGGGGTAGGGACTCAGCATAGACAGTTTGAAAAAGCTGCCCCAGGTGATGCAGATACACGCCCTGGTTAAGCACTGCTACCAGAGAGAGTACTACCATATGCACATGTACTAGAAATAATTTTCTTAAAAATGCCAAAATGTCACCTGACTGAGAAAGAAATCTCACCTCCAAAACAGCCCTCCCCAAATTACCTTTTCCTTCTCTGGGTTTCTTCTTTATACCTAACTCGGGAGACCCATTGGAAATTGGCGACTGCTGGGTCTTTGGTTTACGGCCAACTGAAAAAAATAAGATATTGAAACCATACATTGATAACAGGAAAAATAGTAGAAGCATGATTAGCAAACTCTGGTAACACGTTACAGGCGGTCCTTGGGTTACGCGAGATCAGTTCCTGCGCCGCCTTAAGTCCAATCTGTAGCTAAGTTGGAACAGGTGCATACAGTTCTTATTCAGCCTTACTTTAGTGCAAGAAAGGCTCGAGGCCTTTTCAATGAGTTAAAAGCTGCACATGCAGCAAGTGAAGGTGATTGTGATGAAGAATTTGTTGCAAGCAGGGGTTCAATCATAAGGGCTGGTTCAATCGTTTCAAAGTGAGGGCAAATTTACCTAACATTGAAGGGCAAGGTGAAGATGTCAGTAAGTCAGCAACTGGGGACCTTACTGTATTCATGAAATTGGGCACTAATTTGTGGATTAACATATTCAGTGTATGTGAAAATTCCTTCTAAAAGCAGCATTGAAAACTTTTGCAATTTCAGATTACAGAAGTTAGTCAGATACTACTAATCTATTATTTACATGGTCAGAGCCTCAATGTAGCAATGGAAACAAATCCTAGTATGAAGTTTTTGTTTTCTGTTCTATAGGATTATTAGAAACAGCTTTACCTACCTATTGCAAAAGATCTGATAATTTGCAAGGCACTCTGAACTCAAATGAGGAAAAGTAAAAAATATTATTTTTAACATGTTCTACTTCTCTGAGCCAATCAATTTATCAGAATTTAAATATACATAAACAGATTTCCCCATCTCAACATGCAGGTACATAATAAGGGTTAAAAAAAACCCTTCCAAATAATTCCTTCGTATGTTTAATATATGTCTGCGCCCTTTCCATTTGCTTCTCCTAAGTTCTTCCAGAAGGCGCCACCAGACTACGAACAGAAAAGCAAGGGCTACACTTCCCTCCCACGCTAAAGAAGGCTTAAATCTGAAATGAGTTGTATTTGATCCTCAGCACTAATGGATGAATGCTGACAGGTGAGGGGAACCCTCAAGAAAGAGGATGGGAATATTCAAGTACGTTATATTTGCAGTTTAAATATATTATTACTATTATTGTTCTGTATCTAGGATAGCTATTATCACTCTACTCATTAGCAAGGGTTATCAAGATTAACTAAAGAGCTAAGTTAAAGTGTCTTAATTTACATTTTAAAATGCATAGCTATTATTTTCTAGGATTTCATTCTGGTAATCCTAATCAATAAGAAGCCTGGTTTGGCAAAAATTAAAACACAAAGTTCACTGGTCTCCTTGTTAGACAACAGAGCTTCATTTCTCAATCTAAATTCAGCACAGAAGTCCAGCTTCCTTAATGGAAATATTAGCCCAAAAGGGTATTTCCCAAATCATGATACTTGAAACATTAACAGGTTATTCCTCAGTAGGAAAAAAAGGTTCTACAGGCAAATAAGTTTAAGAACAGTGCATGCTATCCTCTCTTGGGGATTCACAATGTATATTAGTGTATCAAAAGCACTGCAAATAAAAAGGCCCTGCTATTTAAAAATAACTTACTTTACTTTGTATGTTCCAAATGTATTTAACCACAAAAACCTTTTTAATGTAAATAATGGTGTTATATGTAATTTTAAAATGATCACTAATTAAGAATTTTCAAAAACAGACAAAATTAGTATTAAATTGGCATACTATTTTCCTGGTTTATATCATACCACATAGGCTGATCAATCTACTTATCTGGGGTTCTGGTTCCCTAAATGACCCCTGCTTTTCATGTTTTTTCCATCTTCTTTTTTTTCTTTTAATTCATTATTTTTTTCTTTCAATAGCGAAGCGTACTATTTACAGGTAAAACAAAAAAACCAATTTCTTATTTTAAATGTAAAAATCTCTTACGTATTTGTAACAGCTCCCATCAGATACAACCAGCCGAGGGCTACAGTGGGCAGTGGGTGAGTGGGCAGTGGGTGAACAGGGCTATTTGTATGTATGCCTTGTCTTTAAATATTTACAGCAGGAAATGATTCTTCCTTCTAAATTCTCTCATTCTTACCTCTCTCAAGATACAATCTACATATACTGTATGAGGGAAGAGACTCTGTCTTAATCTTCACTGTATCCCCCCACTGCAATAAGCACAGAACTGCACACACTGCAGCAATTCAAAACACTTCTATCTAATGAATGAAAGAAAATATTATTTCTCTCACATTTCCTCTTATTTTTGCCTGATTTTTTTTTTTACTCTAAAACGTGAAGAAAGCGAACAGAAAGAAAGTGAAATCAGATGCGTACCCACTTACTGAGGATTCCATTTCTTTCAAGTTTTACTTTTGATTTGAAAAGGACAAGGACTCACTCACTGCCCATCTCCTGGTAACCTCAGAGAGGTGCTAGAGCCTGTGCGGAAGCCCTGGTGGCATAGTGGTTGAAGATACGGCTGCTAACCAAAAGGTCGGCGGTTCGAATCCACCACGCACTCCTTGGAAACCCAACAGAGCAGTTCTACTCCGTCTTATAAGGTCACTGTGAGTTGGGATTGACTCGACGGCAGTGAGTTTGGTTATTTTTTTTGGTTTGGAGTCTGTTCCTTGCCCACTGGGGTCAGGGGGGCAGAAGTTTCAGCAGGAGTCAATCAAGTAGTAAGTGGAACTGCCCCTTACTTTTCCTACTGGTGAACCGCAAAATGCTTTAACTTAACTCTCTCTCCTGAACAGGAAAAAGTTTATTCCAGTTAGAAGTCTCCTGGCAATCTTGGTGTTTTAAAGCAGAAGGTATTGGAAGCAAGTTAATACTGGTTTTGTTTTTTTTAATGTCCACAAAAGGGCGAAGGTAAGACTATGAAAAACAGAGAAAATAAAAAGTTTTTTTCAACAGGATCAGAAAGTAGTAAGGGTAAGACAAATGTGCAGGGCATCTCTGATCTCCCTTCTGTAAGTCCAATACCTGTTAAAATATCATTTTCACGCAAGTACTTTAAGGGCTCAAATACTAATTCTTGAAACAGTATGAACATGTTGAAACAAAACTAAAATCTGTCAATTATTTGAGAATATCTAGTTAAGGTAACATCAACCTTAAACCTATATTATAGATTATTTCTGTATCCCTTGATGGGGACAAAGATCAGAAAAAAATTTCACTTGCTTTCTCAGAAATTTGTAAGACTCTACCTTTTTTCTTTTTCATTGGTTCATGGCTATCTGGTGATGTAGGAATAGGAGAGGTATCCATTGGTTCAGACTCTTCAGTTGACACCTCCACTACAGTTTCTGTAATGACATCTGGCCTCATAGCAGCATGGATAAATTCTGGAGTTGATACACAAGGAGGGACAAACACTTCCACTATAAAAAAAAGTTGAAAAATTAAAATTCCCACCCCCATTAATGTTTCTTATGTGGACAGTTCAAGTGGTGAGGTTTATTAAGAATTACGCAAAGCAGGATAAGCACTTAATACTAAAAAAGTTAATTTGCGGAATATGATCTAAATTATGTAAAAATAAATGCAAACAAAATCAACCTGAAGGAAATATCAATCCTCTGCGTAAGGCTGGGATCACGTGTAGCGACCCCCATGCCCCACCTTTCTTCACACTTTTTAGATGCTTCCAAGCTCACTGAATAAAACTTTGGATTATTTTGACAACCGGGTAATTATTTGAAAATAAAATAATAATGAGTTCTTTAACAATTACTTTCTTCCCACATGCCCACCATTATTCTTTAACTAGGTAACGCATGCACATGGTACAAAATTAAAAAGACTTATAAACGGGTATTCAGTGAAAAAGTAAGCATTTACAATTCATTTTAGAATATAAAGGAAAACCTGGACATTATACAATATCATCTTTCAATATTTAAAATTTTATTTAACAGAACAAAGGCCTGTTTTGGGTCACTAAAATACATACAGATTGCTATTTGGCACTCTACTGCATGTGGGCAGTGGTAATTCAGTTTTAGAATTCTTGCCTCCCATGAGAGGTATCTGGGTTCAATTCCTGGGCAATGCACCTCATTCGCAGCCACCACTTCTCTCTCACTGGAGGCTTGCGTGTTACTATGAGGCTAAACAGGTTTCAGCAGAGCTTCTAAACTAAGATGGGCTATGGAGAAAAGCCTGGTGATCTACTTCCAAAAATCAGACAATGAAAACTCTATGGATCACAGTGGTCTAATCTGCAACTGATCACGGGGATGGTCCCGGGCAGCATTTCGTTCTGTTGTGCATGGGGATACCACGAGTCAGGAGCCAACTCGATGGATGGCAGCTAACAACATTCCACCACACAGAATAATGTTGCTCCAACTTCCTTCCCATATGCATAATCAGGATATGGCACTCTTTACATTAAGAGAGGCAGTTAATACATACTATTGTGGATTAATATCCTGACGAATAATGCTCTAATTTTCTTCTCATACATGAAATTCCTATTCCAAGTAAAAAATATGGTTGCTCTTCGCATTTGTTGTAAATCCCTATGAGTAGAGTGCCAATCTTACTGTAACAAGTCAAAGTAACATTTAAAATTAGTACAAGTTAAAATTGGGTCAAAATGACTATCAAGGGCAGTTTCAAAGAAAAAAGGGATCAAGAAAAAAAAGAAAAACTCACAGGCTGAAGGGAGTGTGAAGAAATGGCGGAAGCTACCTCCTCTCTCCTTCACGGATGGTTCCCCGAGTTACTACCGATTTATCACTGAATAAACACCTGAAAGCGGTCAGGGGAGGCAACTACCCTAAAGCGCCCTACTCCTAGGGCTTGATTACAAAAGGCTACAGACATGATACTGTAAGTAGCAACACACATTTGGCTATAATGACATTTTCTGTATCATTTATTATGAAAATTAAGTATTTAAAGTACTTAATGGGAAATTGGACAAGTAAAGATCAGTTGTTGCTTTCAAGTATTCATGTATCATAGACTTTCGAGAACTCCAACAATTCCCTTGCATTAAAAAAAAAAAAAATTTGTTCTTGATACATGAAGTGATGTTACATGTTTAACATAAAAATGAACAGTTCACATACCAGGACTTCTTGAATCCCTCAAGCAGGTAGGAGATTCCATATGAAGCAGGGCTTCAGCAGCTTCAATTGTCTTATCTGTACAGTGTGCATTACTGCTGTGAACTGATGCTTCCACTGGGGGAAAAACAGGTTCTACTCAATTAAAAAAATAAGTACATTCACATTTGTTACTAAACATGTTACTAAAGCAAAGCGCTTTACTGAAAAATAAATATAAATTCACACCCATGTGAATAACTCTAAATAAGCCACTGATAAGTCTATATAATTTACAGAAATAATTTAAAAATCAAAGTAAGCCAATATCTACACTTTGTAAAATCAATGTTGATTACACAGTAACCAATCAGACTGATAAGAAATTACTGAGACGTTCCTAAATTTTAACCCGAGGAAAACAATGAAAAACCCTTGAAATTTTAACCGTGCATCAATTTTAGGCCAAAACTAATGTGGGGGGTGGGGTGGCTGTAGATGAACAATCCTATGAAATGAGTTATACATTCTGACGCACTGACACTGAAGCCAGGGTAAGTACCTAGCAGAATCAGTCAGAACAGAAATACATCGTATTTCTAACTTAATGAATCTGTTCAACTCTTAGAGACTTTCCTAGGTGAGTGAAAACTCTCTCGTCAGGGCTGCCTGGAGATGGATAACAACATACATTATTAGCTTTAGCATCTGAACACTTGGGAACTTTCTTTACAATAACTTTACTTTCTTCTTTCTTCTGGACCTCACTAGACTTTGCTAGGCTTTTCCTAAGGCACTTTCGAAAAAGAGTTTCCATGCTTTTTTCTTTTATGAACTTTTCTAATTCTACCACCCTTTGTAGCTCTTCTAGCACTTATTTTATGCTCTGCTGATTAAGTTACTTATGAAACAGTGACACTTCATACCATAGTAGCTTGGGTTTTCAGGTCCAAAACACAAGTTCCAGCTTAACTTAATCGAGCTTAAGCCTCTATTTTCTGCTTTACAAAACAGGACTACGTATTACCCGTGAGAATTAAAAGTGCAGTGATTCCCACAAAATGCTTTATGCGGTGCCTAGCATAGATTAGATGAGAACTCAATAAATGGTGGCAATTTCTTATTTTAACACTTCTATGAAATTATAAACTCCTTAAGGTCCAGGGGGCTATTTTAACTCATCTTTGTGTCTGCTATAGCTCCTAACGTAAGATTTCCAAATACTAAGCCCACAAGTATTCCTTTTATGTATTGAATTTAAGGACAACCCACTGAATTACCAGGAAAATTGGTAACTCAAGCACAAACTTAAGAACTTATTATCCTAATGATACATTAATCTCACGTCCTGACTTAAAATACTGAATAGTCTACTACGGAAATATGTAATCATTTCCAATTTGATTGATTTGTCTCAAGATATGCCCCAAAGAAGCTAAAAGGAAATACACAAATTTCATAAAACCGTATTACAAACTCACAAGTTCTACACACTAAAGATAAGAATCCTTTTAAATTGTTTCCAGGAAACTTTTAATTAAAAAAAGAAAAAAAAACTCCACTTAGTCTCAAAATGCTCAAGCCTCAGTCTTAAAAACACCAGTCATTGGGAGAGCATTTATAAAAATACAGTGACTGTTTTACCACCTGTTGCACATCATCCACACTCTCACCAAGGTACTGGGTCTCTCCAGCTGCTCTTTCCATTTATGGAAATCTGCTCAAAGCTAAACAGTTCCAGAGAGGCAGCCAAACCTCTAAGTAAATCTATCTTTAGGTGACCCTGCTTACTCTTATCTGCAGCTTCACTGAAGCAAAGGATTCAATCAGTCCTTCTAGCTCAACTTTAAGAAACTTAGTAAGTATAAAATATATTACCACTTCCAAGTATTTTTTTTCAAATGCCTCCCTACAATACTCACATACACTAAAGAAACTTTGAAAGCAACTTATCAGGTTTTTAAAATTTATCCTAGGAAACTCATTCTCTTTAAAAGTCAGCCTGAGTTACAATTTAGCTGTTGTCTTAGGTGCTATTAATAAACCACCCTGGGTAAATTAATTCCTTACGTAACTGTATTAAGACACAACCTAGAAACTCTACCGTATTAAAACCAGAACTTCGAGTATATAGCAACAGCATTTTATGAGATTTTCAAATGTTGTGAGTTACAAACAAAATGAAATTTGCCTCACAGTCACATATTATGCTGCCTTGACTTCTTAAGGTACATTTCCAAAACCATGGTTTTACAGTTTCTTATGCCTGTGGTAATCATTTCTTAAAAAATGTATTTTCTTGTTTTTCTTGTTTATATCTCCAACCCCAACCTTCCCCACCCTTCAAAATTCAACGTACTATCCCAGAAATACTTTACAGATTAAAACAAATTCATATAAACTTAGTAAGAAAATTTACATATACATATTTTAAACGCAAAACGCTACGAGTGTAAACTATGCGCAAATTCTCTGAATTACCAACTAAAAGATCTAATAATACTCTAGGTAAAGTCAACATATGATGTGAGCATTTACCATGTGTCAGCCCTGTGCTATGAACCAGGTATACAAGTGTGAATAAATCTCTAGCCTCCTGAAGTGTATGCTAATAGTTCAGAGAGTATCAAAAATCTAGCTGGAAGTAAAAAATTTCAAAACTAAATAAATGTGTAAAATAATTTAAAAGCACTCTGTAAAACAACCTGTTAAGAAAACACTGATTTCTTCTTTTTTTTCCTGATGCTTACTCATTTTACTTTTTATCTTTATACATTAACACAAATAATGCTAAACACATTCAAACAAAAATATGAAAGCCCCTTCTCAGATCAGTTTAAAATAATGTAGTGTCCACAAATACTTCACACATAAGTGAGCACTCTTTCTACTTTACATAAATCAACAAGCAATTTTTAATAACAGAAATTTAAAAAATACTTCTCCTATTCCAGTTTGTGTAATTTTTGAAAACTTTTCAATACTATTTTGCTCAGATCAATAGTTCAAGTAAAATTTAAAATTTTGTACAATTTTTGAGGATACATATGAATTTAGCAGTATTATGCGAGCTACAAGCAAGGGTAAAGAAACAAGTTTCCTTATCTCTTGCTTAATGCGTGACTTACTGGCATCTTTCTAGTCCTGTAGAAAAAAAATAAGCAACTCATTTAAAAAACAAACAATGAAACTAAAAGTAATCTGACAGATGTCATTTTCCAGTCACCACTAGCTGGTGTTGCTGGTCAATCCTCCTTCAAGAAAGAAATGCCTCAAATAAAATTCAAGAACGATTATAATTTTAATCATAGTGCCAAAAACAAAATTTGCTTATGCTTTTATTTACTATGGATAAAAGTCTTCTTGTTTCATTTCTGTCTTTCTAATCAAACAGTATTTGTATGGTAGACTATTCCAGCCTCACTCCACAGCTGTTACAAAATACCAAACTTGGTAATTAAGTCTGACAAGAAGCATACCTCTCAGCTTTGCAGAAGAGAATGCTGGCAATGCCTTTAGTTCATAACAATGTTCTCAGGTCAAAAATAAAATTTAGTTCGCAAGCAGTGGGAAAAAAAGGAAAACACTTAATTAGGTGGTAGCAGTATTCCCCTACAAGAAAGACCATAAACTACTATTACAAGGCCATCACTTAACTCCTGCACCTGATTTACCACACCTATCCTCTAATGTCCCAAGGCTATAACAGTGATAGGTGAGAGAAGAACACAAATGAAAGTCACAACGAGCGGCAAAAGGTAAAGGTCTGGGACACGGCATCTAAACAGTTTATTTTATAAGGTATGGAAAAAAAAAAAGGGAACTGAGATTATCTAAACGAGAGCTGTCCAGTAACAACAGAGTTACATGTAATTATGTATTTTTTAGTAGCCACATAAAGAAGAGCAAAATAGTGAAATATCTTTTAATCTAGCATTTCCAAAATATTGTCTTTACAACATGTAAGCAGTATTAAAAATTTTTCCATTGCTTTCGTTTTTTCATTTAATTAAAATTTAAAATTCAGTTGCTCAGCCACATTTCAAGTACTCAATAGCCACATGTGGCTAGTGGCTACCATACTGAACAGCGCAGACCCGAACAAAGCTGTAATTCAGCTATTCTCAGACTTCTTCTTTGGTCAAAGGACCCTTTTACACTCAAATTGCTGAGGAATACAAAGCGTTTTTTTTTAAATATAGATCCTGCTTATGGGCATTTATCGTATTTGAAATTAAAACTGAGAAAACTTTCAAATATTAATTAATTCATTTTAAAATCAATAAACCCACCACTTATAAACAGTTCTTTTACGAAAAATTACTTTTCTAAAAGAAAAATAAAGGAGTAGCTTTGTTTTACAATGTTTGCAAATCTCTAATGTTTGATCTAACAGAAGACAGTGGATTCTCATTCGCTTTTTCATTCAATCTGCTGTAGTATAACATGTCATGTAGCCTCTAGAAAACTCCTCTGTAAACTTACGAGAGTGAAAACACCAGTAATGTCTTAGTATTATTACAAAAATAGATCTGACTTCATGAAATAAGTAACCGTCAAAGTCGATTCCAACTCGTGGTAACACCCCATGTGTGTCACAGTAGAGCTGTGCCCATAGGGTTTTCAATGGCTTATTTTTTGGAAGCAGATCACCAGGCCTTTCTTCTAAGTCACCTCTGGGTGGACTCAAACCTCCAACCTTTCAGTTAGCAGCTGAGTGCATCAACCATTTGCACTACCCAGGGACTCCTTTGACTGCATACCCTGAGTCCCCAGACCACATTTTGAGAACCACAGCTGTAATTTATTATGAAATGTAATTAATAAGAACCAAATTCTACCCTCATGTTATCTATAAATTTTAGCTTTTAAACATAAACATCAATGTGTAGATGAAAATTTATGACTCCATTTCCATAGTAAAATAATACTTTGTCCATTTACCTACACAAAAAGGATTTTTTAAAAAGCTTTTCGTATTTCTTTGCATCCCTTTGAAGATGTAAGCTATAGATACTCAAGGAGTTTAAACAATTATCAAGAACACTCTCCTGACTCCTTTCCCCACCAATCAACGTTTCTAAAATAAACTGTTTTATGTTGAATTATCTTCATTGACTCTTCTCACGTTGACATTA